TACTGGTATATCATTTGTTGATTGGTTTGATTTTGTGATGCTCATGGATATTTTGGTATAAGCCTATGCTTATTTTCTTTATCAATTGTTATGTCTATTCATATAGTGGTAGGTTGAGATGCATATGTGTTTGATTTATTTCACTATTGGTTGGCCTTTGGCATTTTTGTATAATGTGATTAGCTTTACGAACTTTGTTTATTGTTAAAGCATATGCATCTCAAGTCAATATACCGGTATATGTCGGATATAAGCAAGCTATTAAAACAGGGCTCAATGTGCCTCTATGAGGTTTTATTTTAGCGCTAAGAGCCCAAATTGGGTCTCACCGTCCCGGAACCACGGGCTTAATAATTGTGGGGTTTACCGAGTCAACCGGAGTATGAAGTGTTGACCGCATTGAGACGTAGCGTGCTTATTTCTATTCCATGATTTCTAATTTTCTTAAATATTTGTATCAAATACTAGAGTTCATTAATGATTCTATATCATTCTTATATTTTGTTTATTTCTCGTTGTAATATTTTAGTTTTGTAAAACCAGTGTTTAATGTATGAATTTATCCACTTATTGAGTTGTGAACTCATTGTGTTATTTCTATTCTTTTCAGAGACTCGGGATTAGGTGGAATTGAGGATTGTCAAATTCTTAGAACGAAGCAAAGAATAATTCGAGATTGTTATTGTCTTCTAGGCGAAGGTTAAATAAAGTCTTTAATGTTTAGATGATGAATTGAGAGTTTGTAATAATGAGATTCTTTCTTTAGGTTGAGATTTATTTGGAGTTGAGTAATATTTATTTTTATCAAGTTAATTGGCTTAGTTGACTTTTGGGATTATAGAGAATATTTGTTGTTGGTTTTAGTTCAATGAAGAGATTTGTTTTAGTGTTCTTTTAATGAATGTATATTTTGGAGGACTTTTCACAGGTTTAGTCCAGCTCTAATATTCCTTTGAGGTTCGGAAATTGGGGTCGTGACAGAATGGTATCAGAGCTTAGGCTGTAGGTCCTAATTGATTTTTGAGATAGTCAAGTGATGAAAGAAAAACATATTGGATTTTTATGTAAAGAAATGAAAGTTGATGTTTTATTTTGAAGTTTGATCGAGGACAATATGAATATTATTGGATCAAATTTAGTTATAGAGGTATATGATTTTAGATTCATGATTACATAATTTCTTTTTGTTTAGTTTTCCTAGAGATAAAGGAATTAGTTCAGCTTAGTTAGAGTCATGTTTGACATATGTGACTCATGAAAATATTATCCGATAATATATGCTATCATGATAAAGAATATGCTAGGGATTAGTTATTGATGATTATTATGATTAAACTTTCATGGTAAATGTATTTGTTTTTGGTGATGTTAGGTGTGATTGCACTTGATGTGAGAGGTTATCATTTGAGATTTATAGAAAAGAAATTCGGTGGTTTATTTTGAGATGTTTTAGTAGATAGTATGCCAACTCAGTTGGTTAAATAATTATGGAAAATTCTATGTATGAATTCTAGTTAGAAACATAGAAGTATAGACTATAAATGTGGAAGACTATGAATGCTATTAGTTTTATTTTTTTCTCTCAAGGAATTACATATATAGCTTGCGTAGCATAATACAAGGTAAAAATATGTGGCTATTACTTAAATAGTTGCCTATGTACATAACTTGAGTATTTCATAGATTAATGTTATTGATGATTATTATTATTATGAATTATGACACTATTCATTGATGACACCAACCAGATGACAATGCATTGGTGGATTTCATAAATTTTATTCGGTGAATGAGATAGTCCAATCGTAATTGGATCCCTTTGTAATAGTCTCTTTGATGATATATAGCTATTTTTCTAGAGTCAAGATGAGTAAAAGAATGCTTGAGGATTATTTTTGCAACATCATGACAAGCAGAAATTTTATATAAAGTTATTGGATTTGAATTTTGATCAAGGATTGTTTCTAGTTCATTAATGCACTAATAGCTTTCAATGTCATTGGTCCTTTATTGAATGTATGATCCATTTTCATTGTTCTAACAAGTGCAAAATAGAATATCATGAGTTGAAGGATAGATTTGTGACATACATTGATGCCTCTAGTGCTTGTTTTAGGTGTAGTGTTATGCAAAAAAAAAAAGGAATTATCCAGTATGTGAAGATTTTGGAATATTGTCTGTATAGGAAGAGATGGGACATCTATACATAGAAGACTTAAATAGCTTTTTCTCTTAAAGAGCTAAATATTCAAGGGAAATGGTAATTTAATGAAACATTATGGTATTATGTTTTATTATTTTCTTAGCAAATGAATTCAGTGACACATTGGATAAAAAGTAAAATTATATCATATTTTGATCGGCCAATCGAAACAAATATTGGAGGTTGAGGTGACTTAATATTTGAATTTATAGACCAAGAATAATGTCTGGCCAATCGAAACAAATATTGGAGGTTGAGGTGACTTAATATTTGAATTTATAGACCAAGAATAATGTCAACCCATATTAAGATTGAGCATGTGTCAAGAGAGAAATTGCACAGCAAAAAGTAATGCTCCTTTATTGGTTGGATTTAAGTTTGAAGTAAAACAAACTTTTTGTTATGATATTTTAGTTCATAATGAGGTCGTAAGATTCAAAAACAGATCATGCTTTCTCGATGAACCAAACTTGAAGGTAGAAATATTAGAAGACATTTTTTTTTGCATAGTAAAGATATCTTTGAAGTATGGAATTATTTACAGACTTATAAGAAAATTTTTGATGGAATACTTGGTATGAAAATTATAATTTCTTTTGTGTCAAAATATCTATTATGAATGCATAATATGAATATTGATTGTTGAAAGCCTTGTTGGATTACTCCAACTCTTTTCAAATTATGCATGGAAGTGAAAGGAGATATCTATAGACTTTGACTACAAACCTGACAACATCGAGTGGTCATTATTTTATGTGAGTATTGTTCATTAACTTACTAAGTTGACTTATTTCTTGCCTTGCAGCACTACTCATTCACTTGAGAAGCATGACATGTTACATGTTAAAGGACATCATGAGATTTCATCTTAGTAGAGACTTTAAAGTTTGAGGTTACATTCTAGATTTTGGAGAGGATTGTCGACGTATCAAATAGAATTGGATCACCTCATGGCTTGCCACTAGTTTCCTATAATATATCTCATGTGATAATCTATGAAGCTCTCATGATAGGAAAGATTTTTATATAGTCAAAAACAGCTATCTGCAACATTGGATCAAAAGTATTAAACATTGGTGATCAATAAATATTTGTCCAATAATTTCTTTTTGTGTTAAAAAAAAGTCATTCAGAAGAAGAAACAATAGGTTGCATGAGAATGTGATGAAAGAGAAATACCTTGATCTATTTGAAGACTTGTAGTGCATCTATGTTTTGTGGACAAAACTTCTTTTGAGGGGTAAAGTATGTAACATTTCTAGTTTTCTATGGCTAGCAAGCCTAGTTTTATAATTATTTTAGTAGTCACTTAGAATTTTGAACTGAGAGGATATAACATTATGGTTGAGAATTATTTGGGTCCGGTAAAATTTTTATGGAAAAATGATTGTTATATTGGGAACACAAGAGTAGGATGGAGAAAAAAATGTCAGGATCATCTAGATACTCAAGCATGTTCAAGTTTTGAGGACAAAACTTCTATTGAGGGGTGAAGTATGTAATATCCCAAAAATTTTCTATTGATAATGAGACTATATTATGAATATTAAGTTACAAAGGACTTTTATGCAAAGAAAGAAAGTACTAGATATAGCAATAAATTTAAATCGGCCGAGGGGTTTGTTGGAAATGGAAAATTGTTAAAGGGTTTATTGGTATTAATGGAAAACTAATAAATAGAGGAAAACCCTAGTTGTTGACTTTTGAGAAGCCGTAGAAAGAAACGACAAGAGAAGAAAACAAAAGACGGCAAAAGAATAGCAAAAGAAGAAAAAAAAATTATTGGATCCGTGCGTTGAAAGAGAGTGAGCAATGGTTGTTTGCACGATAATGAAGGTATGTCTATTGGTGAAAGAATAATCTATGAATGTATTAGGGTTTGGTTTGAATTTTTATGTACAATCAATTAACTTGGTTTTATTTTGTGGTCGGCCATGGTTAATGCTCTTGATAGCATGCAACACCTTCTGCTGTTGTTTTTTCTTCATTGCTTTTGTCATGAAAGTCAATTGTTTCTTAGCCTAACATTCCAGACCAAAGTTTCTAATATAAAAATAAATTAACCTATATATATATATATATATATATATATATATATATGGATGCCTAGTAATTTGAAGTTCTAGAGGCACCGTCAAATTGTTGGGAATTGGATTAGATTGTCTATCAAGCTAAGGTAAGTGGTAAATTTATGCATTGTGCATTGCGTATTTTTCCTACAAAATGATAGTAAGTATATGTGGATTTGTTTCCTGATGGATTATATTCCTTTGTATGATTTACTGGTATATCATTTGTTGATTGGTTTGATTTTGTGATGCTCATGGATATTTTGGTATAAGCCTATGCTTATTTTCTTTATCAATTTTTTATGATTTTCATATAGTGGTAGGTTGAGATGCATATGTGTTTGATTTATTTCACTATTGGTTGGCCTTTGGCATTTTTGTATAATGTGATTAGCTTTACGAACTTTGTTTATTGTTAAAGCATATGCATCTCAAGTCAATATACCGGTATATGTCGGATATAAGCAAGCTATTAAAACAGGACTCAATGTGCCTCTATGAGGTTTTATTTTAGCGCTAAGAGCCCAAATTGGGTCTCACCGTCCCGGAACCACGGGCTTAATAATTGTGGGGTTTACCGAGTCAACCGGAGTATGAAGTGTTGACCGCATTGAGACGTAGCATGCTTATTTCTATTCCATGATTTCTAATTTTCTTAAATATTTGTATCAAATACTAGAGTTCATTAATGATTCTATATCATTCTTATATTTTGTTTATTTCTTGTTGTAATATTTTAGTTTTGCAAAACCAGTGTTTAATGTATGAATTTATCCACTTATTGAGTTGTGAACTCATTGTGTTATTTCTATTCTTTTCAGAGACTCGGGATTAGGTGGAATTGAGGATTGTCAAATTCTTAGAACGAAGCAAAGAATAATTCGAGATTGTTATTGTCTTCTAGGCGAAGGTTAAATAAAGTCTTTAATGTTTAGATGATGAATTGAGAGTTTGTAATAATGAGATTCTTTCTTTAGGTTGAGATTTATTTGGAGTTGAGGAATATTTATTTTTATCAAGTTAATTGGCTTAGTTGACTTTTGGGATTATAGAGAATATTTGTTGTTGGTTTTAGTTCAATGAAGAGATTTGTTTTAGTGTTCTTTTAATGAATGTATATTTTGGAGGACTTTTCACAGGTTTAGTCCAGCTCTAATATTCCTTTGAGGTTCGGAAATTGGGGTCGTGACATGACCGGTCGACCGATCGGTTGTGGCGGTTCGACCGACGGGCTCCCAGCTCTTTGTGTAGGTTTGTGTTCGGGTCGGTTTTTGGTTTCATTTCAGGCCCAGTTATGTATACAAGTATATATACTCATTTTAAACCTCTTTCCTTCATCTTTTCACATGATTTATCAGTAGCCACCTCCTCACTCAAAACCCTAACCCTAAATTGTGACTTTTTGGGAGAGTTTGTGAGACGTTTATCGAGAGGAGCGCGGGATTCGTGATCTTGGTGAAGAAGGATCTTGCACGCACATGTTTGGGAGTTCAACATGATGTTTGAGGCAAGATCATCTTCCTCCAAACCTTTTCCTTAGTTAAAAATCATGTTTTTAGTGAATTAATTGTTTTAATCTAATGCTTAAAGCTTAATCTAATGTTTTCAAAACCTAGATTTGTGATATAAAATCTTAAACCCAAGAAGAGATCAGTTGAACTAATCTGTAATTTATAGAAATAGATGATCATGATCATTAGAGCCGTATTTAATTGTTAATTTATATTTTAATGTGGTTTAAAACCCGAGTTTAATAATTAATTAATAATTTTTGTTAATTAGGAGGTTTAAACCCTAAGTTTATGATACCTAGGTGATGTTATATTGATTAAACTAATCTATATTTTTGTAATGAACAGAGTTAATCATGTTTAATTAATCATGCTAATAAAAATTGATTTTTGAGTAAAAGTACAACACACAGAACCTGGAAGAATTTCGTATTTCCTGTAATCGGTCGACCGATCCTTAGGGATTAGTTGACCGAATGTGTCGTCCAGGATATTTAAACCCTTTCTAGTTGGTCGACTAACTAAGAGCAATTGGTCGACCGATAGGGTCTTGTTCGAGTGCACTTTGTGCACATTTGCGGTTGATCGACTGATGCCATAGGGGCAGTCGATCGACAATTGTTTTCTTTTGTGTGAGGTGATTTTTCTTGCACGCTTAGTTGTGAACGCGGGGTTCGAGCACAACTCAGTACTACTTGGGATAGTGCGTCGATATGCCATGTATGGAATTTTCTTTTGTGTCAGGTGATTTTTTCTTTTGTTTCGATCATGTTTAAGTTAACAATTAACTATAATATGTATGCATGTATGGATATCATTGATGAGCACAACTCAGTACTACTTGGGATAGTGCGTCAATATGACATTAGTACAGGCCATTGAGTTGTGTCTTTAGGATACCTGATTTGGTAGTCTGTGCCGCACGGTGATGTGATGAGCCTAGAGAGCTATACTTCTAGGATACCTGATATGATAGTCTGTTCCGCATAGTGATGCACTGAGACTAATAAGCCGTGTACATATTTAGGATGCCTAATTTGATAGTTCGTTCCGCATGATAATGCAATGAGTTATAAAACCTTACGAGATATTGTATTATGATATATCTGATAGCCCGAGCCTTTGGCGGAAGCTATTTATGAATATGATTAATCTCTAAGTTATATTATGACCAGATTACATCGTGTTTGGGAATTATAGGAGATTTAGTTCTTGTATCCGCATCATCTACCCAAGGGTAGCGCGAGTTATATGGTCGATATTTATGATATTGCGACAACTTTACTTTTTGTATTATTTTCCTTTATCTTTTATTTCTTAGTTTGGAATTAATATTTAGTGATTCACAATTTAAAACATATGGTATATACATGAGGGTTTTCTTGTTTGGATTATTTCGCTCGACGTACTACGTCTCGTGTGTAAGACCCTAGAGGGGGGTGATTAGGGTCTAGAGACAATAATAGTACAATAAAAATTATGACAAGCAATACACCACAAAATAAAAAGCGAGAGTAAAAGAGATAAGGTTAGAAATTGTTATCCAAGTGACGCGCAATGTGTTCACGAGGTTCGGTCCACTGACCTACGTCCCCGCTCCCCACTCTCGAGGAGAATCCACTACACAACCCGGTTTGGAAGCCGGAACTTCTTCTACATAACGATCTTCATGAGATCTCACAACCACACAATTGATCTCCTTAAGATCACACTCATAACAGTAGCAATCACAGGAAAGACTCTCTCTTTACAATATCCCTATGGAAAGAAGAGAGATTGCACTTGAAGTTTGGGATGTGAAAACGAAACAGTGAATAATAGGATGAAAGTTGAAGCTCTTTGAAAACAATAAACTTGAAAATAAGAGTTTTGCAATTAAGGCTTAAGTCTGAAGTAGTTGGGGTGTTGGGTATTTATGAGGAAAGAAAATAGTAGCCAAAGCCCCAAAGAATCAGACAAAATCCCCCAAAAATAGGATTTCTGAAACTGTACAAAAATAGCCGTTACAGTGTTATGAGTTGACTCAGTACTGTTCATGAGTCAACTCATAAGTAGCTGTTACAGGCTAAAAATAAACTTATGGGTCGACTCATAAAATTTATGAGTCGACTCATCATGCATGGGTCGACTTATGAAGTCATGGGTCGACTCAGTAGAAAACAAAACACATTTTCCTGCATAGTTTATGAGTCGACTTATGACAGGCATGAGTCGATGATAATCACATTTTATTATAATTTTATACCCTCATTATCTATTTTATATGAATAAATATGCTACTAATAATTGTTTTTATCTTTTAATTGCAGGTTAATGAAGAATAAATCTTAAACTCCCATCTCTCAACAAAAACTCATTATTTAAATGAAGAAATGAAGCAAAGAAGCCCATTGGAAAATCAATTTCCAATTTATCCAAAAGCCCAAGCTAAGATGAAGGATTAAAAGAAATATCAAAGCCCAAAAGCCCAAGCAAAAGCCCAAAATCCAAGCCCAAAAACCAATGGAAGAGGAGTTCTGCGGACAACAACTAGAAGCAGGCAGGCATCGATGCCTACATCGATGGGGGCATCGATGCCCGCATTGATGCTGCCTGCATCGATGCCTACATCGATGGGGGCATCGATGCCCGCATCGATGCCTGTATCGATGCTAGCATCGATACCCCTATCGATGCTGGTATCGATACACTGGGCAGTTTGTTACGAATCAAAGGCTAAAAATTGATATTTTTGGATAAGATTTCTATCCATTGGCTCTCATTCACTAATGTTTACTATAAATAGGGGTAGAGAGTGAGGGGTTAGAGGTGTGAAAAATTTGAGAGTGAGGGGTTAGAGGTGTGAAAAATTTTGTAACTCCATTTGGAGAGGAGGACTACTCTTAATTGAAAAGACCTTTCAAAAATTGTAACTTTAGTTGCAATTAATAATAATAATTTTTCTCCACTTTAAATTTTCTTTTCTCCTCTTTGTTGAATGATGAGGAAGGAGATGAAGAGCAATTTGAAGGTTTGCATTTCTTTTATTTTCCTCTTTTATTTCTTTTTTGTAATTTCTTTATTATTGCTTATTAGTTAGATTTACATTCATGCTTGTAGTGTAGATTTATTTTCTTGTCTTTTTATTTCTTTTTGCACTTTAATTTGTAGAGTAGATTTATTTTCTTGCATATAATTTTTGCAATTTATTTTATAGTTTAGATTTTAATTCTTTGTAGTTAGATTTATTTCTTGTTCATAGCTTAGATTTTTTTTATTTTTATTTTTGTAATTAGTTCTTTTTCTTCTTATTTTTATTTCTTAAGATGTGAAATTAATTCTTGTGAATCTTAGAATTGCATAAAACTAGTCTAATTTCCTTTATATTGTATGAATTATTCTCTTTCACTTAAAATGTTCATGTTTAGGATAATCAACTAGAGAACTAATCGGTAGAAGAAGAATTTGATAATCTATACTTATCTTAAATGGTTTGATAGGTTATGCTTATGAATTCTAGGATTATTATCTTAATCTTGTTCTTATCATGAATAGTAATTTTGACTTAGATGATAATTTGATAGGTTATACTTTTCTTAAATGGTTTGATAGTCTATGCTTAATAAATCTAAGTTGAATTATGATAAAAATAGAATAGTTTGTATTTTGTAATTAAAATTAGCTAGTGGATTACACTCTAGATTTCTTACCTCTTTTGAATCCTCCATCTTAACTTTCTTAAATTTTCTTTTCATTCTTGGTTTTATTTCTTGATTTTATTCATTCTTCTCTCTTGCCTTGTGATTTCATTTATTCTTTGATTCTTATTTCTTTGTCTAAAAATTCAATTTATTGTAACTTGCACATAAATCAAAACAACCACTCATCATATCTCTCTCTACAATCACACTTATTCTTTAATCCTATTTTTGTCACGCACACAATATAAGAACCTATTCTAATAATCTCTTAAAATCACCTTCCTCGTGGGATCGATAACTTTTTATACTATAACTTGATCAATTGTGTACTTACAATATTGGTACATAATTATGCCGCATCAGTCGACTCAACCTGATGGGTTGACTCATGATGTTGTGAGTCGACTCATCAGAAACAATTGAAAACTACGCAGCAGTTTGTGAGTCGACTCAATACTGTTCATGAGTCGACTCATAAACATGCACACGGAAAATATCAACTTTGAACCTTATTATCGACTCAATACTGTTCATGAGTCGACTCATAAACATGCACACGGAAAATATCAACTTTGAACCTTATTAAAAATTATCAAATAAATTCAGAAAAATGTAAAACTTTGAGAATAGTTTATAAACATTTCGACAAACTTGTTTGAAAAGGAATTTTGTAAAAAGGTCCTCATATTTGAGAAAAACCTCATTTTAAAACAAGTACCAAAATATGAGTTTTGAAAATGTATAAGTGTGTGTGTAATATCCCAGATAGCTTCAAAGGAAATCTACAATTACTTGCCTATATTTAAGTACTAGAGAGAAAATAAAATAGCAAATATCTCTCACATAAAAATACATTTCTTGAGTCTTGATATTGCTTTAGAGTTGATGAAGCTTCTCATTGTGTTAAGTGTTCTTGAT